TTTTCCTATCTACTAACCATGTCAGGCAACTGCAAAGGCACAGAGGAACCTCCTACAGATTTCAATGATTATGTGTCCAAGAACGAGCTTCATGCCATCCTTGATGACAAGTTTAATGAGATCCTTCAACAAATCACAAGTTTAGCCAGGCGGGTTGAAGATGTTAAACAACGACGTCTTGAACCACACCGTGATGATGAGGAGGAAGACCAACTCGAAGATGAGGATGTTGGCGACGCTGAGGCTGAAGACAAAGCACGACGTGCGGAGGATGCACGTAACTGTGATCGACTGAACTTTAACCGACGTGGTATGGGAGGTAATGACCGATGTAACAATGATCCCTTCTCTAAAACCAAGTTTAAGATGCTTCTTTTTTCTGGTTCTGCTGATCTTGAAGCATATTTAGATTGGAAGATGGTTGTAGATCAAAAATTTAGCTCTCATCGAGTACCTGAAGAACATAGAGTTAGACTTGCTACTAGTGAGTTTACTAGTTTTGCTCTTTTCTGGTGGAATGATATTTGCAATAATGCTAATGCTTAAATACCTCAAACTTGGACTGTACTTAAACGACGAATGAAATTAAGATTTGTTCCTCCATATTATCAGCGTGATCTGCGATTAAAACTGCAACGTTTAAATCAAGGTAGTAAAAGTGTTGAGGAATATTACCGGGAGCTTTTAATTGGTTTAGCACGTAGTAACATACAAGAGGATGACATGGATAAGTGTTCTAGATTTTTTGATGGTTTGCATCGTGAAATACAAGATATTCTTGATTATAAAGAATGGACTAGATTTCCCCAATTATATCATTTTGCTCTGAAAGCTGAAAGTAAAGTATAGGGACGACAACTTGTGTGTTCCACACCACTGTCCACTCCGTCATGTCCAACCAAGATGAATAAATTTTCTAACGTGCAGTCACCACCACCTGTAAAGAAAAGCTCGCCTGTCACACCTTCCACAAGTGGCTCTGCTACACCTTCCTCTAGCAGCTCTGCTAAGGTTGTTTGCCACCGTTGCAAGGGCATGGGTCATATCGCGAGGGATTGCCCTAGCAAACGCGCATATATTGCTACTGATGATGGTGTGTATGTTAGTGCTAGTGATGAAGAGAATGAGTTTGCACTTGCAATTGATCTTGCTGTAGGTAAATACGAGGATAGCCCTGACGATGTTGATGAGGTAATTGATAGTGTGGCATGCACTGCAAACTACCAATCCATCCTTGTTTAGCGTGTTTTGAGTACACAAGTTGATAAAGTGGATAAGCTACAACGCCATAATTTATTCCAAATGTTTCTCATCGTCAATAATTATCATGTGCGAACTATAATTGATGGTGGGAGCAGCAATAACTAGGTAAATTTAGAGCTTGTCAAGACCCTTGGTTTGACTACACGTGCTCTTCCACATCCATACCATGTTCAATGGTTCAACAATAGTGGTAAGGCAAAGGTAACACAAACTGCACATGTGCATTTTTCTATTGGGTCATACCATGATTATGCTGATTTTGATGTCGTGCCTATACAAGCTTGTTCACTTTTGTTAGGCCGTCTTTGGCAATACGATAATGATGTTGTACACCATGGTATACAAAATAGATATACTTTTATGCATAGAGGAAAGAACATTGCTTTGCTTCCTTTAACTCCTGTTAAAATTGTGCAATGTGAAAAGGGACTTGCTGAAAAGAAAAAAGAATGGACATGTTATAGATTGTAGCAAACTAGCAATTGAACAATCAAATACTATTAAATTAAAAGGAGGAGTTTTACTTGCTCTAAAATCTGTTCTTACTGATTTTGATGATCATGATGAACCATGTTATGCTTTAATTTGTAAATCGACTATATGCTCAATTGATCCTACTCCTAGCTCTATGCCTCTTGTTGGTACTTACCTTTTGTAGGAGAATGAGAATGAATTCCCAGCAGGGAGACCACCATGGCAGCCGCCTTTGCAAAGGATTGGGTGCTAAAATGAACATCTACTTTCGGAGCCACCATTGCTGTCATCCATTGGAGAAGAAGATCTACTTCAGTCGAGGATGACTTCAATTCAAGAAAGGGAGGATGATGAGGACATCACTTCGACACATACAAGCCAAGGAGAGGAGGAGGTCTAGCATGGGCGTCCAACTCGTCTTCCTCATGGTGGAGGTCCAGTCCACCTGAAGTTGGACTCCATCTCGGATTCCAGGAGCTGTCTTGGGTAAAATCAACGCCCAGGACGCATACGGACTCCGTTTTCGATGATTCAGATATGCTTGGAAAGATAACTTGATAATCTATCCAATGGACTTGGTTTCACATCAAAATCCTTCATGAGTCAACAGGAATCGTCAAAACAAGTCAGCATCTAGAACCTGGCAGGGTGATGTGACACCGTCTTTTGGTCCGTTGGGCCGTGTATCGTCTTAGAGCCTAATAAGGGGGGGCATCTAGGGGGGTGACACCCAAGACTCTATAATTAGCCGCCACCGCTCTCGTTATGGTTTAGGTTTTGTTGTGTTCTTGTTTTCGTTGAGAAACAGACATTGTTTGCTACAACTGTATCGCCAAGATCGTTTGTTGTTAAACCAGGGCCCCTGTTTTTTATCTTGTTCGCCTGTGGCGATTAGTACTTTTTAATAAAGACTTTAACTTCTTCTCATATTCATAAGCCTTATATTTATTTGCAATTTCAGATTATGTTTATCCGTTCTTGCTTGTGTTCTCGATTCGTTTGCTAGAAAGCCTTCTCTGCGAGGTCAATCGCGTTCGCGTGGTTGATAACAAACGGAGCAGTGGTGTAACGGTTATGGGGGTCCGAATCAGTCTTGGTTCGAAGCCTAGATCATGAACATCGAGTCTCCACCAATCGACACTATCATACCTATCGAAAGATCGGGCCTTGACTACATCATTTCGCGTCCAGGAGGACGCCCACCGACTCCTCCCGAGGCGTTGGGGAGTAGGGGACGGTCGACGGTGGTTTTGTGGAGGGAAAAAGTCCACATCACCCCCAAGTATAAAACCAGGTATTGAACACATTAAAGTTTGTAAAACAAATCAATTTACCCCCTGGCATGGTGTTACCAGGCAATTTTGCTTGCGTGGCAGTCCAAGCTGGATGTGTTGGACACGCTAGCGCTTGGGACCGCTCGTCAGATGCCTGTTCGTTCCCAAATACGTGTGCTTAGGGTGGATGGAGCAGGGACGGTGGCGCAAACGCGGAGGATGGAGTGGGGGCGGCACCGGACGGAGCAGGGGTGGCGGCCATGGCTGCCGGGGGAGTAGCAGCCGCCATGTCTCGCTCACTCTCTCTCTTCCATGTCTCAAGCTCTCCATCTCTCGCTTACTCTTACAGCCTGCTCTCTTTGTTCGTCGCTTCCCTAGAGAGCAGCAGCCGTCGCCGGCCAAAATTAGCGAGCTCCACTGCACCATCCCCAAATTAGTCACAACCGTAGCTTCACCTTGAGCCTCTATACATCCCAGGCCTAGGCTCGCTGAGTTTCGCCCAAGGTAAAGGCTGCTGCGGGCGTTTTACCATCGCCGTCGTCATACACGAGCCAAAACACATAGCTCCCTTCGCCTATCAAATTCGGCCAGCTCGAAGCCTCCTAGTTCAATTCCTTGCACCAGTGGGTAGCTATGGAAGTTGCCTAGCTAATGAACCCACAGCTAGAGCTAGCCACGTCCTATCGTCGATGAATTTTGGAAATCTGTGGCTCGAGGGCCTCCTTTTCTGGCTTCTTGGTGGGCGTCACGCGTCACCGTCAACCTCGCGATGCTAGCGACAGTAATCGGGTGCATGCACTGGGCGGCGGAGGCCGACAAGACGGGGAAGAGATGTGACGTTCAAAGTTAACTGTACCGATGTTGAAAGTTAACTATACTGATGTTCAAAGTTTGTTGTACTGATGTTTAAAGTTTGTTGTACTGATGTTCAAAGTTTACTGTACTGATTCCCGACACGACACCGACCTGCTTGGCACCGTGCTCCAGAGCGTCGTCAGGGTCCAGGTCCGGCGGCTCCGGGGCAAGGACCAGCCTGCCACGTCCGTCTACGACACGTGCCGTGCCCTAGACACACTATGACAAGGAGGAGACGATGAGTACTGGGGGCATGGCGGAGGAGGCCTACATGAAGACTAAGGCTCGCCATCCGCTCGGACCTGGCCCTGTCCTTGTCTCGCACCTCGAGCACGTGTCCATGTGTGATGGGGGAGGCGGCCACGGGCACCAGACCTGCGTCGTGTGGTGAAAGCTGGCAATAGCGCGAGCTTGGAGGGCCGAACTTGGCGCATGGCGTATCATCCCACTTAACCAAGAGCACAGGAGAGATCGGGACAGCGAGGTGCGGGCGTGGCGCACGTAGCAGAGCCTCGACGTGTGGCGACGATGCTGTTGTTGTCGCTGCGCCGGCGGCTCTTGCTCTCAAACAGCCTCATCCGGACGCTGCCAGGAGCCCTGGAGGCCACGTCATCAAAGGCAGCCAGCGTGGAGCGCCACATATACAAAACCACTTAGCAAAACCACCCAGGGATTAATTGACCAGTTTTGCAAACTTTAATGTGTTCAATACTTAACTTTATACTTGGAGGGGTTAAGTAGACACCTAAACAAATCTCACATGTACACCTTTTCCTTTCGTGGAGGGGGAGGAGAGCGTGACTGTGTGAGGAACTGAGAAAGGGTGGGTGTGGAACTGCGTGGCGGAGGCAAAAGGACGAAGACGCGTTCGCGTTGGAGATGTTAAAAGTGATAATAGGCTGTTATCGGCTTGCCTGTCGCGGGCTCGCGGCTTTGCAGATTAGGCGAAAACGAAAATTCCCGTTTAGCGGGCACCCCCGTCATTCCCGGGCATTTCGAATTCTGATTTTGATGAGAATCCCACACCAAACGCCGAGCCCCCCGCCAGTGGTCAGTCGTCACTCGTCACCAAGACTCACCGGCCCGCTCGTCGGCGCTCAGATCTACCCTACCCCGTCTAGACTCCGCTCCGCCATGGACGACAGCGCCGGCGAAGCCACCGGCCAAAGCCAGGTACGCCGAATTCGTGGGGCCTCCCTTTCTTCTGCTCCCCGACCCTTATCGCGGTCCAAGTACGGAACTCGCCGGAGTAATCCCTCCTCCAGGCCGCTCGCTTACCCGCGTTTTCTGTCGTTGCAGGTCCACGCGTGCAGTTCGTACCCGCTTTCGTTCCCTTCCCGTGCGTTCCTCTCTGGCCTCTGTCTCTCGCGAATCTAGCGTTTTCTTGTCGCGTCGAGTTTGGATCTCTGGCTGTGCTGACGCTTGTCTGGGTGTTCTGTTTCTTCGTCAGAGCCGCCGGACATCAAGAATTGGTTCTCGAGCTATGTGTATGACTCACCGGAGGTCCCGGAGCTGGTTGCTGATAACGACGGCGGCAACGGCAGCGAGACCCAAGACCCATTCGAGGTAAATTTGTTTTTGCTGAATTCTATTAATCAGGTCGTGAACGCGTTACATTTCTTGCTGCAAATTTCATGCATCCTCCTACCTATTAGGCTATTAGCCCATCTAACTGTGTACTCTGGTTCCGTTACCCAGCATTCGTCATTAAAACATTCTCTCCAGGATGGTGGAGTTGCTTTGAGAGAAAATTGTTTAAGAGGCCAATCTGAGCCTGAGATTTTTTCTGGAAAATATTTGGTTCCAGTTGATGGGAATGCGATGAAGCCCGCCCCCAAAAGGAAGCAAAGCCTGCGGGCATTGTTTGGAGCGAGTTTTCTTGATGAGGCTGAGGAAGCTAATGAAACTGACAGTCACGGTTTGTTCCCTGTGCAGCTAAATGCACTGAAGCATGTGTCAGATTGTACAAGCCTTCCTCTTAATGAAATATGTGAGGCACATTCAGAAAAAAAGGATTGCGCAACAAGCTTGCCTGATAGTACTAGACATAGCCAGGAAGGCACAATTGAGCACAGTAAGGTGCTGGTCGATTGTGATCGTATTAGTTCAGCTGATACTCAAGAAAGCACCCCTGCAGATCAGGAGGTTGAGAGTAAAAAGTCTGCTAACTGTGATCATGCATGCTTGGCTGATATTGGAGAAGGCTTTGAAGAAGATGTCATCAATCATATTGAACTTCCTGTCAGTTTCAACAGTACCATTCTAGCTGGGACTGAGAAAAAGATCCCAGATGGTGTTGACAGCAGCACAAGTCTTGTTAGTCGCAACAGTCTTAGTTTAGCTGACACTGAAGGTAATTCTCCATTAGGGGAAACTGGCAATGAAGAGAATTCTCCCCTAGGGGGAACTGACTGCTGCAAGCTTTCATTAGACAGTAAAAGGCAACAAGAAATGGTTGCATCAGATGGTTTTATAGCTATAAAGAGGAAGAAGCAACCAGAGGAACACAAAACAAACAAAATTCTGAGGCACCCAACAACTGGGAAAGAGAAGGAAAATGGGAACTTAAAAGATAATAATGTCATCATTCCAAACCAGAAAGTTTTGGTCCAAGAGCAAACCAGACGTCCCTTGGCAGATAGGACTAATTTTTCAGAAGTAAACGCATCTCCGGTACCAGAGCCGAGCAGGAAATGGAAGTGTCCTCGCAAAGGCAAGCCCTATGTTGGTCGTCCAATGAAGCAGCTCCGGTTGGAGCAATGGGTGCGCCGTGTGAATTGACACTTCAACATCTACCATCCTTTTTCAGAAGAGTATGCGTCATCAGGTTGACAGTTTGGACCAGTTTCAGCTCTACCAGTCTGTAGAAGTGCATGTCACCCAAGTAGGAGTAGATCTGTTATAATCTCGTTATGTTTGTTAGCTAGTCGTGCTACTGCTATCCCAGTTCAATTTTTTCATAGTACCAGGGTACATATCGGCAGAAGACTGAACTGAGACAAGCTTAATGACGGGTATAATATTCTGTGAATCTTGTTTTCAGCTGAGATTCTGTGTTTCTTTTTAATGTTCAGCGAATTTTTGGTCTGTTGGGAAAATGCTTCTCAAACTGTAATGGGATTAGTACTTCATCCATAAACAGTCGCATGAATATACGAAAACTTTGTGGGGGAAAAAAAGAAAACACAAGTGAAGATTGTATACTGGGCCTGGTTATTTTTGGACCGTCAGTCGGCCCACATCTTCATACGACTTACCGGTCCTTCCGAGGCCATAATATTCCTCAACGGAAAAGTCCTCTTGGTCCCTTAATTTTCTTATCTTTCAAAACTGTTTGTTTTTTCATTTTAAGTGGTTTAGATGTGGCGTCACATTAGTCGTTCTACTTCTACATGATGCCACAGCAGCCACGAGGGAGAAATCGAACTATGTTCATTGTTTAGGGATAAATCGACCTACATTATTTTTTTTCAAAAAGTCGTCGAAATATTTTATTGAAAAACTATGCAATTGAAAATCATAAAATCTTATTTAATCTTCAAAATTTTGTTTAAATTTTAAAATATACATCATCAGCTAGACTAATTATAATAAATAACGGGCATGTTCGGCTGGTATTAAAACCAGTTGATAAATTGACTGAAATTGTTTTGTTATGAGAGAAAAATACTGTAGATTCTAGCTGATAAGTTCAAACGAACAGGCCCAAGCAAATAAACACATAAGGAAACCATAGAAGATTCAAACAATTCTAAGGTAGGCACAATAAGATAGATGTGTTGTGAGAGAAAAACAAGCTGAAACACTGTTCCGGCTGATTTGTTGTGAGAGAAAAACATTGTTCCGGCTAAAAAAACAAGCTGAAAAGTACGTACTATAAGACAAACGAACAGGGCTAGAGTGTGATTCATAACAAAATGATAAACATGTTTCATATTTTTTAGCTAAAACAAAATTTTGATAAAATTTTCAAGATTAAACCATATTTTAAGATTTTTAAAATTGCTTATTCTTTTAGAAAAATATATGGATATTTTAGAAATACAATTTATCTCTTAAGTTACCAACATAGTCCTATTTACATTCTCAATGATCGACATGGTGTCAAGTAGTATGACTAATACTCTCTGTCCTGAAAAGACCGTTGTTTTATGTACGGTACGGATATTTTTCGACCGTATTCAAGACCGAATATGTTTAGAGGAGTTCTGATCTGTCTATATCCGAGTCCGGATATTCAATATCCGATACCGCATCCATATTCGAATACTCAAATCGCATATTTATGATGTCGATACCCAATCGTATCCTATCCGGCATGGTTGACACTATCCGTATTTGAATCCGAATCTTGACAGAAATATGAAAACAAATGTAATATTGGTGATATCCATCCGTATCCGATCCATTTTCATCCCTAGGTATGAGTATAGATATATATATATATGTATCTAAAGTAACATTCTTTTTTGGAACGGAGAGAATATAGCATGACGAGGAAAAACCCTAGTTTCAAAATAAATAGTTTTAAAAGAAGAGAATAAAAATCCAAATTTATATGTGATAAAGAAAAATGAACTTTTTAGTTAAGGTGTCAAAAACAACCTTTTAGTCCTTTGATTGTAGAAAAAACAAAGAAAAAATGTACAGTTTCTATTCACGTTCTTTGGTTCACAGGAATCGGTTATAAAAAACATAGAAAACTTTTCTTTGCATTTGATTTTACAGGAAAATTATAGAAAAATCTCACTAGAGCCGTCTCATTGTTTATATTTCCTGTGTTCTTGTGACTTATCAAACACCTTCTCATATAAAAATTTCATTTTCTATTTATCTATTTCATTACATTTCATTCGTGTGTGTTTTTAATTCTCCGTTCAAGTAGGCCTTTAACATTTTTCAACCCACAATCTCATGTCCATACGACCATACCCGACAACGATACTACACGCGTACGGCAGCCAGGCCGTGTACGGCGATGTGACGCTGATCCGCTCAGCACACATTCCCTAGGTGATGATGATGTCTGCCTTCACCGTTTAGCCTGGGCATTCGGTTAAAACCGACGAATCGGTTCGGTTTGTTCGCTTCCTGTAAACTTTGGTTTGCAAAAATCAACAACCGATTGGTTTTCCACATAAACAAAAACCGACGAATTCAGTGTCGGTTTGCTCGGTTCGGTTTTTCGGTTCCACCGAACCAACCGAGGCAAACACCAGAACAAATCAATAGGGAGAATGAAGAACGGCAGAACGAACAAATCGAGCAAGGTATAGTGGTCCGCTGATGCCGCCCGCAGCCGCGATGTCCCACTCCGATGTCATGCTCAACTCGCGCTCGCAGTGCTAGTAGTCTTTGCTCGCGACGAGCGCCGCACCGATTCGCCTTCTAGGTCCCGCGCGCGCTTTCGCGCCGCCGCCGATTTGCTGGCCAACACGCCACGCTGCCGTCGACCACAACCGCCGATTCATCGAAGCGGCTCGCCATCATCGCCGCCGCCGCTTAGCGCGCGCGCCGCCGCCGCCACTGAAAGCCGCTCGCGCCGCCCCGACTCGAGGCTAGGCTAGGGTTACGAGTGCCACCGACCCGCCGCCGTCACCGGTCGCGCCGCGCAGCCACCTTTGCAACTTGCGTGGTGCGTGGATGGATGGATGGATAGGGTTGGGACGAGTGAATGAGTGATATAGGTCGCGCGGCGGCGGTGGCTAGGCTATACTCGTGTAACTTGGAGACTTGGAGTGTGGTGGGCCTTTATTAGGCTGGGGCGTTGCTTGTCGCCTCGCGTGTCTTTGCCGCTCGCTCTTTGCTTTTATTTAGCTTTGTGTTGCTTGCTATCGAACGTTGCTTGGTTGCTCGGTGTTTCGGTTCGGTGGCACCCGTAAACCCAAACCGAGGTCAACAATCAAGTTCATTTGAACTTAAAACCGAAACCGAAACCGAAGACCGAAAAAACTAAAATTTCGGTTCGGTTCGGTCTTCGGTTTTCGGTGAAAATGTGCCTAGTCTGATTCACCGTACCACGATCCAGTTTGCTCATGCAGTGCACCGACATCTGCCACATAGGGCACGCGACGGGGTCAGAGGCTGCGAGCCCACCGAGGCTGCCACCTCATGGTGCGACGTGCAGCTCCGGTTGCTCACCAGCCACTACATGCCGCCCACGTCGTGTTCTAAAGATTCAAACAGTGCCTAGCCTGGCCGCTTTTATAAATTCCAGGCAGCTACCGCCCACCGCTGATAGCTAGCATACGACGTAGAGTCGCAGTCGCAGCACGGACACATTCCTTTCCGTCCAAGTGAACACTCTAGCTCGTGATAGCCGCTTTGACAGGATGCAGACGGCGAAGGTGAAGGCGAAGGACATGGTGAGCGAGGCGAAGGAGAAAGTGAAGGACATGGTAAGCGGCGAAGGAGAAAGTGAAGACATGTAGCAGAACCGTCCAATTTATAATAGTATAAGTATAATGACAACCCGCAAACGGTCACACTATCATACTTGAGCCCATATAAACCCGGTAGTCCATCGAGTACCACAAAGGGTCTCAATTAACCGTCAATATACGACCAAGATCGTACATGATTCAACAGACATGTCACATGTTACATCAGTTCACAAATACAACGTCATACATCATAGTACAATTAAGAGTTATTACAAACCATGTTCAAATAAAATAGTCACGGAAGCAAATTAAGTTTGAAAACCAACACCTCACATCATTGTTCCAATACAGTGCCAGTCCATGATCACAACCAAAAAAGTATGATAGAGGAAATTAACGAGAGACGTCTTGCCCAGGGCCCTACTCCTCGTCCACGGTGGGACAGGAATAGTTCTTACAGTAGCCATGATAAACTATACCATCTGCAACAAGTGGGAAATAAACCATGAATACAAGAAGGTACTCAGCTAGCCTTACCCGTCATAAACCAAAAAAAATTGACTCCAAGGATCATGCAAGACTTTATAAGTAAAGCTAGCTTGACAACATTTTACATGAAAAGCTACTAATTCAGTTATACATTTATAATTCGGTCATCAAGTTAATTATAGTTATTCATCTCTAGAGTAGCAACTAACCTGTTCTAAACATGTGGTTTATCATTTAGTAGCATACAGTAGTAGCCATAGCCGGTGTAAAAGTTTCAAGTTTATCATAACCATCATTCCATAATACAGTTACTACGATATTGGAGCTAGCTAAGTTTCTCAGTGCCTGGGAGGGACGACGATTCGAATTAATTTTAACCAGCTGGGAATTTATTCCTAACACAAATCTAGGTAGACCAGATTAACGGCCACCTTAGCTCACCTTTGATACAACTCAGGTACACATTTCGCGGGTTCGATCAGTGCCGCACAACCAGGGACAACCAGCCGCCAGGATGATCAGGACTACCCTGCCCTTGGGCTCACATCTGACTCCCCGCACATCCTTACTACCATCCAGAGTGCGCACTCTAACAGAACAGGGCCCGGTCTGAGTTGAGCTACTCGGCTTCGCAGATGGAACGAGTTGTCCGGCCAGCTAAGTGAGAGGCATGCGTTCAATCTCAACAGAAGTTCCAACAACAGTACGGTCCTTAATCGACACAAACGAAATCACATGAGCCAACCTACGCATAGACTCCATCCGACCTCCAGTTACATTACCCCATGGTTCTTTTCTACGATGGCAAATATAGCCAACCGTGCTCCGGTATACACCTATATCTCGCAGGTGACAGAAAATCACCTGACTTCTACTGGTCTAAGCATAGCTAAGCATATATTCGATCCT